AATCAATCGAACAAATTAAAGACAAATTGAACAAAATTTCAGTAAATATGCATTTTCAAGTAAAATCCTAAATCAATCCTAAACCCCTAATTTAAATTAAAGCAAAGAAAACCCTAAACCCCTAATTTAAATTAAAGCAATAAAATATCAATTTTATAGAATTTTAACATAAATTAAACAAATTCATACATTTTCAAATAAAACCCTAAATCAATCGAACAAATTAAAGACAAATTGAACAAAAATTCAGTAAATATGCATTTTCAAGTAAAATCCTAAATCAATCGAACAAATTAAAGACAAATTGAACAAATTCAACCAACCGACCAAAAAACATTGATAAACTAACCCTAAACCCCCAAACCAAGATCCTAAGTTACAGATCTAAATTTAACAAACCCTAAACCGCCAAACCAAAATAACTGAACAAAGAAACACTCAAAAACTAACCCATTTTTACAAACCCCAAACCCCCTATCAAATTGCGATATTTTCTCAACAGTTTCAAATTATTCCCCTTCGAACCTTCAACTATCTGCAGATATGTTGTTTGATCAAGCGTATTCGGTATAGGCTTCAACCAAAATCGATGTCTTCACAAATGAAACTAGGGTTATATCTCTCTGCATATCTCTTCTCTTTGCCTCTCTAGGGATGTTAGTCGTGAAAATGAAATGAAAAACATAACTTTGGGTTAAGGAAGTAAAGTGGATTGAAGTGTTTAGCTACAAGATTACACGGTGTTTGGTTCAACAGATAAAGCAATCTTTGGTTTGAGTTATACAAATGTGGTTTGATCAAGTGTATATAGGAAAAAGACAAAAGGATAATTTAATCATTTCATTTATTTATTTGTTTTTGTCAGCCGACAATATATATAACAGGGGGTTGACTGAATTTTTGCAAATGTGTGGGGTCTTCTTAAAAATTGGACAAAGTACAAAGGGTGTAACTGAATTAAACCTTTTTATTTTAAATTATTAATTTTCTTTTTTCTTTTTTTATTTTTTATCATCAACAAACTAAGAAAAAGATACTTGAAAATGAATACACCTGTTAAAGAGTTGGACAGTGTCTTCAATATCACCGGAGTATATATTATCATTTTTTTTCAAAATATTTATAGAAACAAAATGTAAGAAATTGCTTTGTAGTTTACTTAACGCGCGCGCGCACACACACACACACACACATATATATATATATATTCTGATGATGATTGGATTGAGAGTTAAGAAGAAGGGAGAAATTTGAAACCACAATGGGTTCTCCGAAACTTCAAAAATCTGTTGGAGGAATGTTCCTTATCTGACTTGGGGTTCATAGGGTACCCATTTACTTGGTGTAATTAGAGAGGAGGAGGGGCGACAATTCTTGAAAGATTGGATCGTGCTCTGGCTGGTGAAGGATGGCGGACTAAGTTCCCTGAAGCATGACATAATTAATCATTTGGTTGTCGCAGGTTCCGACCACTCTGCCCTCCTCCTTGACTGTTTTTCAAAAAATTTTAAAAAATAAGGGTCATCACCAATTTCATTTTGATGCTAGATGGGTGGAGGATAATGGATATTGTGCAAGAAGTTTAGGGGAGGAAATATGGCTCAACCCGAAGTCGGGTTGGGTTGGGTCAGCCCGATGTCACCTTAGATATGGGCTTTCAAGTAATCCAAACCTAAATTTTTTCGGGCCAGACAGGTTGACCCATTGAACCCTTTTTTTTTTTTTTTCCTTCTCAAATATGCAAATTACATCTTGTTTAAAATATCAATTTTTTTTTTCTTTTTTTTTGTTCCAAAAATAAAACTTATCTTATTTTAATTTTATTTTTTCAAACAAATATGCCAAAATCACATTTTTGGGTTCCTCAGCTTGAAAGTCAATTTTTTTCTAGAAAAATTTAGTTTTCAATTCATTGATACTGCCATTTTTTCTCTTTAAATTTCTTTACCATTACAAAGACCATCTATATACCACCTAAACTTTTATGCAGAACACAAAAAAAGTAAATTTTTGTTTTAGAATTGTATAGGAGATAAAATAGTTCTCAGATCAGCCAAAAAAAAAATGGTTCTCTGATCATTTTCATTCACACGATGAAAATATATATCAGAAACTAAAAGGCAACAAGATGCAACCTCTTGGAAGCCAGGACGGCCATACAATCCCACGACCTCTTTGGCTTGGTAATAAATTTAATTTGGATTAAAAAAAAAAAAAAATTTGGATTTTGGGTTGGGCTCGGGTCGAACCCTAGCCCAACCCGAACATGGTTGGGTCTTGAGAAAACCCAACCCAATTTGAGCCTGATTTGTGAATTTCAAAATTCAAGTTTCAAAATTTTTGATTTAGGTTCGAGTTGACCCGCCGAAGTTGCACCCCTAATTTCAATAGTTGGAAAAACTAAAAAATTGCAAATAGCCACGGGAGAATCATGGCGACGGAGAATCAGCTCAAGGTTCTCAAAGAAACTTTTCGTAATTATGAGCCGGAACGTATCCGAGAGACTATGAATCAATTGCTTAAGCTATGGAAGGATAAGGAACTTTTTTGGGCTCAAAAATCAAGAATTCAATGGTTAAAGCTTGGGGATAGGAATTCAAAGTTCTTTCATGCTTCAACAGTTAGAAGAATGAGACGAAATTTTATTTCCGGGATTGAAGACCGGCATGGTCAATGGGTTGAACAAGAACAAGAAGTTCAACATGTGTTCCATAATTTCTTTTCCACGCTATTCCAATCACAAAATCCAGAGGGTATTTATTGCTTTCTTCAGTCCATCCCTCCCTGCATTACAGAGGAGATGAACCAGCAGTTGATTCAACCTCCTACAGAAGAAGAAATCAAACAGGCAGTTTTTGAAATGCAACCGCACAAAGCTCCTGGACCGGATGGTATGCTTCTGTAAAAAGTTTCATTCATTCTGAGACACTAACTCACTAGTATGAATCAAACCAATCTGGTCTTAATTCTCAAAGTAGATATTCCGACTCAAGTTTCTCATTACCGGCGTATTGCTCTTTGTAATGTCTCCTATAAAATCTTTGCAAAGGTCTTAGCTAACAGGTTGAAGCATATTATGAGTTCAATAATTAATGATGAACAATGTGCTTTTTTAGCGGGTAGGCACATAACTGATAATATCCTAATTACCTATTAAATTCTCCACTATTTAAAAAACAAAAGATCAAGTAAAAAAGTTTTTTAAAAAATAATAGAATCCGATAATAATATGATGTGAGTAAAAACTGACATCAGCCTCATAACTAATCGTTTTATGACGTTTACTTACATAAAAATAAAAAATAAAAATAAAAATAAAAAGTTAGTATCATACTGTGATTTTATATCATCGTATCATAATTCGGCTCACGTCAATGCCGAACCGTATTATAATGTTTTAACTTCCACTTACATCAAAAAAATTTAGGTGTTGGATTGTCATATTTCACCTCATGACTCAAACTTTTAACCAGTGTATGTAAAATCTTGTCTTTGTCAACAATTGAGAATTACTCTCGGCACTAGATACTGGAGAATTTCTTATTACCTCCATATATGTATTTGTTGTTTATCCTACAAATGATCTTACTTATATAGTTACTAGTTAATTTAACTTCAAAATATTAAATTATCTTTTTAAATCAAATAATTATTTCATTCAAAAAAAATTTAAGAAACCATCCGTATAATAAAGTAGTATAAAAGAATGTTGGGAGGGGTGAAATGCACTCTATCATTCTTCTCATTAATTAAGCTTGTTGGGAACTGTAGAATATAACCTTTTAACATTAGTTGTAGACAGAGACAATTGATAATTATTTCAATTATAATTAAAAGCAATAGTGGAATGAAATTGCATTTTCTTTTCCTTCCATCACAAAAGGAAAATATTCAATTTTTTTTTTTTTTTTTGCAAGCTCCATCTATATTCTAACATTTATAATAAAGTCCAATTATTTAGTTTAATGATCAGTATCACACATTTTTTAAAATTAAAATATATTTGTATTAGCTTAATAACTATTGTATAAAGATTATTCAGAGAGTTGCCAATGGGTTATTTTCATACTGAATCATCCCATTTAAAATTTGAAGTTTAACAATGCTCTTCTTGGCGGAAGCTTTAAAATAAATCATAGTAATTGCTAATTCTATCTTAAATGTAGTTTTCCTATATTTAAAAATGAATATAGCTAATGGCCCACCAACGTGACCCATGGTTCTACAAATTTGAAGTTCGGGACAGAAATAATGATGTGGCCCATGTGGGACCCGCCGTGTAGAGTTGCCCACAGTGTTTCATTTTCCTCTCCACTCCAAATGGTGTTAAAATTTTAACATAGTAATTGCCCCCTAAATTTTATTTTATTTTATTTTATATTTTTTTTTTTAGAATTAAGTTATTGTAATTTTTCTTATTTTTAATTGTATTACTTTTGAAATTTTACCATTGTCCCCCTGAAATTAAAAAAAAAAAAAAAAAAAAAATTCACTTTTGCCCCCTCGCTCAATATTCTAGGTCCTCTGGTTGTAACAAGGGAATTGATGAAGATCAAGAATTGGTAATTCAAGTGGAGAAAAAGGGGGAAAACAAAAAATATAATGTATTATTATACACAGATGATTTTATTTCTTGAACTCACATTTTTCTGAAGAGTTTCAACTTTGACTGCCATTCATGCATTTTTAATCAAATTTATTTGAGAACTTCCACATTAAATTAACTATTCAAGTGGAGGAATTTAATATTTGTTTTAAGACAAAGAATTCAAGTCCATTTTGTTTCAAGTCCAGCTTACGTATAAATACAGTAATATAATTAACTTTAGGCATTGAGAACTGATTGACAAATTGACTTCAGTAATTAAATTCTTTGGGCTCATTGTAGAAGCGGCATCGTGTTCCCTATATATGAATTTATGCATGCAGCTAGTTCACGTAGCTTTCTTTCTACTAATTGTTATCTACACGGTGATTTTAACACAGCTTACAAATTCAAAGAGATCAAAATACCAACTAGTTTAGTTTCTAGTAAACTTGGCAATTACAAATGAAATAAAAGAAAGACAACACATAATGGAGCTGGCCACCAAAATTGACAAATATTACATGACTCACACTTCCATCAATACTGCAAATTACTGGAGGCCTTCTTCTAAGACAAGAATTTTTATTCCTCAAAATATGCCTCACCCAATTATTACACATCAGAAATAACTTTCTTCTTTTCTTCTGAAAAAGAGGCTTATACAGAAATTTTTGCCAGGTGTGGAGCCGTGGAGGACCAAAATATTGACATGAAACATCTTCTAGCGAGGGGCAAAAATCGTTACAGTTAATTGATTGGCTGAACACGATTCAGGCTTGCTTGATGATGAATCTACTTCAACAAACTTTCTTCCAGTGTAAAACCCGGGCTCTTTCGGTTGAGGCAATGCAATCTCACTACCCAACATCATAACCACAGATGACATGTTTGGTCTGTCCTCTGGACTTTGTTGCACGCACAATAGACCAATATGAATTGATCTGAATGCTTGAGTAAGATTACATGAGTGCACTAGCGATGCATCAATCAGTTCCAAAGGTTTGCCTTCTTTATAAAGCGTCCATGCCTAATTGCGACTTATTTTTGTCAGTAATTCTTGAATCAATGCATGAAATACAATAAGGTAGCTATTGACACGTACATGTCCTAGGAGGTTGAGGTTGTGGTCTGGATGAGAAAATCCTCTGTTTTTGCTCCCACTAACTATCTCAAGCACCAATACACCAAAGCTATACACATCAGATTTTACCGAGAAGAATCCATTCATTACATACTCAGGGGACATGTAACCGCTGCAAGAAGTCAACAAAAAAGAAATCAATTTCTGAGCAATAGAAGTAGCACATCCAACATATTTAAAGTTCTTACTGTGTTCCAACCACTCTATTTGTATTTGCTTCCATTTCATCACTGCCAAAACATCTAGCCATGCCGAAGTCTGAAATTTTGGGGTTCATATCGTTATCTAGTAAAATATTGCTGGCCTTGAGATCTCTGTGGATAATTCTCAGTCTAGAATCTTGATGAAGATAGTTAAGTCCCCGAGCAATCCCGTTGATAATGTTGTAGCGCTTAGGCCAATCTAGTAACACACTTTGTTTTTTATCTGCCCAATTTTTCAATCCAATTAATTCATGCTACTGTTTAGTTGGATTCATGGGGCTAAATGTTAACCACTTTTATAAATTCACAACCATGGATAATCCTTGGGAGCAAGTTCAAGCAGCAGCACTTGTTAGGATGAAGTTAGAGTATCCTGTTTCCCATCTTCAACTAGGAGGGATGTGGCACTTGACCTTTCTCCCAAGGCTTTTGATAAAAGCATCCTCCTAAACATCACTCAGGAATTGGGAAATTTGGAGCACGCACAATAAAATTAACTTGACAGGACTAAGTTTGGAATATTAAGACAAACAAAAAATTACAAAAGGTTAAATAGATCAAGGATTCGAGTGACACAAACCGAAGATGAAGCAATCCATGCTTTTGTTGGGCAAGTATTCATAGATCAACATCCTTTCATCATCTTGAATGCAACAACCTAGAAGCTTCACGAGGTTTCGGTGCTGAAGTTTGGAAATACATAGAACTTCATTCTTGAACTCATCAAGTCCTTGTCTTGAATTCTTTGAAAGCCTCTTCACAGCTATTTCTTGTCCCTCTTCTAACACACCCTGAAAATTATCATTCTGCGAGTTCCATTATCTGCTTCCAAAAGAAGCAAGTTTGTTTTCCCTTTTTTTCTTCCCTTGACATTCATTGTGCTAGTCTATATGGAGATTGTCTCCATTAGGTATATTAACACAATTAGTTCATATCATAACAGCAGACTCACATGCAAGGAACACTCCAAACCATGTGACCAAAAAAGTGTCTTTTTCTTCTTTTTTTTCTTAGTTGGTATATTCACGCACCCATGCCTCCAATGAGACTCGAACCTCTGACCTCCCGTTGGGAAGTAAGGACCTCGTACCACTAGGCCACAGGCCCGTTGATGACCAAAGTAGTGTCTTTGCAGTACTATTTGTGTATAACCAGAAGGAAAATAATTTGTGCAATTCGGCAAACCTTTTTTGAATATGCTATAGCCCAAGAAAGCATCTTTTTTGAATCATTACCATTCAAAGAGGCAAACACAGTCCTTGACTGGGAAAAAGATTAGATTGATTATCTTTGAAAAGAATAGCACTGATTAATATTGGCAAGCATTCAGAATGAAGATTTTAAAGCTGAGAATATTTCAGAGAATATTAGTGACTGAAAACTATGTATGCAAATACTGGTTTGGTGCGTAGAGATGGCACCATAACAGAGTTGGTAGCAGAATTATTTTTCCTAGATGCTGCATAGTTTTATATAAATATTGATCATTACCTTGTAGACAGGTCCAAAGCCACCCTCTCCAAGCTTATTGTAAATTGAAAAGTTATTTGTGGCATTTACTATCGTCTCAAAGTCAAGTAACGGCAACTCTATATCTCTCCTCTCGTTTTCGTCGGCGTAATCTCTATCTTGATTGAGTCTAATTGGTCCTGCAGAGTAGAAAATGACCTTCATAAGAATAAAAACAAGTTGTACATATTCCTTGAACTAACATGTATGGCAATATGGCATGGATCCAGAAGTAGGATAAACCATTCAATAAGACCCCAAATTAAAATCTCTAAAATTATGCTTCCTAGTGGATCCTGCTTACTCTCTTTCCAGATTGGTATGGCATGGCACTCTTAAGTACAGTGGCATCATGATAATTATTTGTTTAACAAGAAAGAAAAAGAAATTGGTAAGCAACATCAGTGGGTAGAATAAGAGTTGAGATGTCCAGCTGGTGTCAGTTGTTTCATCAACAGAAAAGAAAGTGAAATAGTCTTAAACTTTAGTAATGACACCCTAAATGTATTTTTAGCAGTATTTATTTGTCTCTTTAATCATTTGTCTACTTCAGTAAATGTCATCTATAGCGGTATTGCTGTCACTCCTAGTGCAAAAACCATATCAGTTCCTAATGGTAAATTTCTAGGCAGCCAGGTTAACTACTTGTTTATTTGTTATAAGACCCTTATGGTGACAATTGATGTTCTCAGGGAAGGCAAATACACACCCTTCATGACAAACAACTTCTCTCGCTATCATCATCCTGAAAAAGTCATGTAAGCCTAAGACAGGATTATGATTAAGACCCAAAATCTGATAGGTCCATTTTAGTGGATTATTTGCAAAAATAAAAAAAAAAAAAATCACTTTGGTTGAATGACTTTATCAATTTGTTTCACTAAGAATAAGGAAAATGAAAATAAGAAATTAATACCATTCAGAAAGCCTGATTTTGGTACACTTCACTGTACATGAGCCATCAGGTTTTAACAACCTGCCCTTTTTGTAAAAGCTAAAGTGGCTCAATTAACATGAGGAGATACAGAATAAGACCAAGATAAAGTGGCAAAGGAAATAAAAATAAAAAATCTTGGCCTTCAAGCAAGACATGAGAAAGGCATAAAATAGAAACTTCGAATCTAACTAAAAAATGGGGTTGGATTCGCCTTGGTAATAATTCGAAGATTTATTTGCTAATTACGAAAGAAAAGTATTGTGAGTCTTTAAGATATGTTACCTCCTCTCTTCAGCTTCCTCCTCCTCAAGAAATGCAAGAGCAGCAATAGACCTAGGAGTACCACTACCATAAGTAATATAGGAATGACTATAATCCTTGCTCGTCGCTTTACATTGGAGCTGCCATGTGTCTCTGCACAGTCAAAATTTACCATAGTTTAAATGAGCTACAAGTTAAGGCAGGAAAACAATGAACTAAAGCAGCAGTAAAAGAAGGCACTTTTTCTGTAAATGATCGTCTTTAGGAGACTTTCTTTCACCGGTGTAATTCACCATTAAGGCACGATCATGAAGCACGCATTTTAGGAAGAGTAATTACAGCAAATTTGCTGCAATTGGACTAATTTTAAATTACTTGATATCATTTTCCTGGTTTAGGAACACTAATCTTAAATAACTTAATATTATTTTCTTTTCTTTTTTTGGTTTAGGACTCACCAACATAAAAAATGTCAATTTCAATTTCCTTCAAGTTTCAGCAATATGGAAATCTTTTTTCTTTTTCTTTTTTCCCCTGAATACATTATGGAAAATTCCCATCTCCTTGAACCAAAACTGAGCAATTTTTATGGCACTGATTGATGAGGGAAGCAACTAGGTGCTTTTGCAGACTTAATGGTGGTAGAGAGGCTTAATGCCATCACCATAACCGAATTGGAAGAGAAGAAAAGGTGTAAAAATAAAAACTAAATCCATTACTCACAGTTTTCAATAATCTAGTTCGCTGAGGAGTAAGTTAATACCTAATTCTGAGGCTGCCATTCTCAGATACGGATCTAATAAGATAATCCATACCTAAGTACGTAAGAAGTGCAAGAAAAATTTGTGAGCGCTTCTCAATGCCTCTTTATTTATGCCTCCTTTCTAGAACTCTGCTTGCAAAGTTATTGAAAGGATGGCAACTTTCTTTTTATTTCCACAAAAGAATGTAAAAGCTACTCATGTTTGGGGATATATATATATATATCACACATACCTAACTCAGAGGAAGCCATTCTTATGTAAATATCTTGTCCAAATTCAGCAACATTCCTAATATCAATCAGGTCATCAAACCAGAGCAAGCAGCCACTTCCTCCTGCTGTTATGTCTATATTTGCATAAGCCATACAAGAACAGTTTTTCAAGCATACTGTCTCGCATTCCTTGAGGTTCATGCTCCTATTAAACCAAGAATACCGTGTGTCAGGCAATTTAACACCGGAATACTTGAGAAATCCATTTGATGATCCATTGTGGCAATCCAAGGCCGTTCTTCGAACACACCCACCTGACCAATCTGCTGTGTCCCAATCTTTTGGGTACCTTGGCATAAATTTATCAAGACACCCACATGCGGGGGAGTTATCAACGCTGCAGCTACCATAGGCATGACACAGCCCATAAAAATCACAGTTATCTGATGGTGTATTCAGGTAGACTGTCCAATCCTGTATTTTATAATTCCATGTCAAGCGCTGTACAATTCCATTTCGATTCATAACCCGCCGTGAGAAAACTGAGCTATTAATAAGCTCAAAATCATAATACACCTCCTGCTGATTAAAAACAAAACGGTATGTGTAGATGCTGTTTGGTTTTAAACCCACCGTGCCACTAAAGCTGATACCATTCCATGGTCCAGTACGGTATTGCTCAACTGAACCTTTCAGGAGGAACATTTGTGGGAATCCACGAAGATCAAATCCATAAGAATACTCACCTTTAGAAGGGTCATCACTGGACTTCCATGACCATAGACGCCTATCAATTCCAGTAACTAGGTTCTTTCCAAGCTTCATGCCCGGCAACAAAGTGTCTCCAGGATAATCAAAACTCTGCCAGAGGAAATTCTCATCATTTACATCTTTGACAACAAGATTACCCGAATCCAAAAGCTGTGCAACTGGAGCTGAATTCACTGTGTTGTTATTTGAGGATGAATTTGAAGAAGACCAGAAGATGCTGTTTGTACTATTGACAAGCACGAGAATTCCTCCGTCTGTGAGCTTTAAGACACCTCCTCCTGAGGTATCAGTAAGTGGAGTATCTCTGTTGGCAACCCATACCACAGTCCTATCAGATATTTTTTTGTACCATATTCCCAAGTATCGATTCCTGGAAATACCACCTGAGGGGTTGAAAAATCCCAGTTCGAATGTTCTGTCTGAAGAGACCATAGTTTGCCCATCTGTAAGAGAATGAGTTGTGGTTATGGTGTTCAATTCTACTGCATAGGAGGTTATTGTTAACATGGAAGAAATAGAATACAAGTAAAGAATTATGGTAAAGCCAAAATTCTTTGATGATTTACTTATGCTTCCCATAATGGTGTTGTCTACCTTTCACTCTTTGAAGCGAAGTTAATCATCCAAATCTCTGAAACCCAAATGAATTGGTTTTGATTTTACAACATATTTAATCATAAAAATGGATTTTGGAGTGGACTCTGTTTTCGTATTGCTACTTGAATTGAGCTTTGTATATAAATGAATAATGATGGGCATCTTTTTTATGGTCATCAAAGGCTTCTGAAACCATTCACAATTTTTCCTCCTTTGACCCACTTGAAACAGATTTGTGACAGTGATGGCTCCTCTGTTATGAAGAATTTGCAATGTGTGACATGTTGAATAACGAGAAAGGCCAACCAGCCAGACCTAGACGTCCCTTTCCTTTTGGTCTTTACAGTTGTGCCACGAGTATAAATTAAAGGACCATGCTATTAGAGCCAGAAGTCTTTGGCAGGCATCCATAGAGTGGGTCCCATCACTTTGCATTCCAAGGGCCATGGATGCAAAGTGTTCGGCAGAACACTCAACTAATGTCTTCAACCTGAATATCATTTTCCTTGACTAAAAGCTAATTGTGACTCATAATTGACCATTCAATTGATCCTATTCAGATGGCATCAGCCACAAATTGAGCATCTATATACATACGCTATGGGTAATCCTTTCCACAGTAGTGGAAAAGAAGTGCTTCACATGCAGTTGAAACTTTGGTGTAACAAATCCAAAGTCAAGGATGTCCACATAAACAATCTATATATCAACTTCTTCAATACGTTGGGGTGGGGATATATTGGCCTTCTGCAACTAATTCTTTGAAATAGTCAGCAATGGAAAGATGCATCTAGATGGTATATATGACTAAGACTGGTGACATTCACCTCTCAATGCCAATATTATTGGAGTACATTATCATTTCTTTTCTGTGAATATTTTATAGAAACAAAATGTGACACTAGAAAGTAAAGAAATGTGATTTTTTTGTGTTTGGTATAAAATTTTCAAAGGAAAAAAGATAAGGAATGGAAGAATTTTGAGAGAAAATAGAAGGATTGACTAGCAATTTTTAATATAACTTTATTAACACCAAATTTACCCTATTTTTTTATAAAAAAACAAAACTATGAAAAAGAGTATTATTGTAAATTAATTAGAATAGTTTCTTTTCTATTATTTTTCTCAAACAAGATTACTATTCTTTGTAATTGAATTCTTGGAATTCTTGGTGAGGACTGTCCTAACTTCTTTCACCTATTTTTGGTGCTCAGTCTTTAAAATTCCTTCATCTGTTATTATGCTTACTGAAAAGAAGATGACAGACTTCTTATGGGGTTTCTCTAGCAACACAAAGAAGATTCCTAATTTCTTTCTTTTCTTTCATTAATCAACCAAACACTTAACTAATGATATTATTTCTTTTCTTTTCCACCTACCAGCTTGAAAGATACGGGAGTACTATGTAATCAAAATATTCAGTTTTGATTATTGAAATATTATAAATTTTATTCTTCCTCATTGTTTTACACTTCTCAACCCTATTTCAAATCTCATAACCATGACAACTCTTTTGATTTAGCTCTAAAACTTCCATATGGTTTTCTTCGTTGCTTCCATATGGTTTTCTGCTTTGCTTATTGAAATTGCATGCGAATACTTGAAAAAATGGGGTCAATACAGACATTAATGATAATTACCTATACTTATTTATCATCACCGGCGTATAAATTCGCCGCCAATCCCATATATCAAATTATCGTGTTGTTAGACCATCCAAAAGACCTATACCACACTTTTTGTGGACATTATTGCTACATAATATATATAGAGATGAGAGAGAGAGAAACCTGTATTTTTTGGCAGCTTTCCTGGCGGAGATTTCAGGGGTTAGCATTTTGTATCCTTGAAATTGGAGAGGAAAATCAGTTGAGTGTATGTTTGAAAAGAATCAAAAACACGATTTCTCTCTCTCTCAATAAGAATCTGAAAAACCCAAGGAGACGAAGCAAACCCCCTCTTCTTCTCCAATGGCGTCACTCTCCTCCCTCTTCCTCTCCAATCCTTATTCCCTCAGCCCCTCAAACCCTAATGACAACCCTAGATTTCTTCTTCCTTTCAGAGAAGAAATCTTTCGCAGTGGCCACCGGCGACGTCGCGAATCATCAAGCAATTAGGGCCGGGGCCGGGGCCGGGGCCGGGGCCATGGCCGGAGCCGGAGGTGGTTGGGTGCAGCGGTTGAAGGATGCAGAGCTTAAAGAGGGCATCTAGGTTTATCCGGTCAATCCGTTAAAACGGGCTTAATGCAAATTTTTATTTTTTTATTTTTTTACTTTTGCGACTGTAAAATAAAATGACGTAGGAATTTTATATTTATTATTTCAAAACACCTTTTTTATATTATTGTTGAAGAAATGGTGGGGGAATTTAAAATTTCAAAACACCTTTTTTTTATATTATTTTTAAAGAATGAGTTTTTTTTTTTTTTTTTTTTTTTTTTTTGATAAATATAAAATGATGTAGGAATTTTAAATTTAATATTTCAAAACACCTTTTTTATAGTATTTTTAAAGAAATGGTGAGGGAATTTAAAATTTCAAAACACCTTTTTTTTATATTATTTTTAAAGAAATGGTAGCGGAAGGTCGTGGAGGAGACATCAGTGGTGACAGCAACAAAATATGTGGTGGTGGTACACTGATAATTTTTAGACTTAGAATACAAGAGTTTTTTTGGAAATTTAAATTTTATTTAAAAAAAAAAAAAATTACTTTAAAATAAAATGACCATTTTATAGATTTAGTTGTAAAATTGATTTTTATTCTTTATAAGGAATTTTGCTATTTCATTTCATTCTGCATACTTAAGACAGCATTAGAATACACATCTTTTCTTTGAGTTGCGAAGAAAACTCTCCCAACAAGACATGTGAATTTAATTCAACCATAAATGAATAATAAATTGAACATATCGGGTCAAAGAAGATAAGGTTCAGCTACAAACTATTCAACCCAAAATTAATATTATTCTTGTACCGTCGTAACTATCCATGCGGTATTAGGCATCAAAATTTGGATTTTTATAGAGGAATAATAAAACTTGATTTTGTGGCATTGATACCTTCTATTTTGTGTCTTAACTTGTCAAGTAACATGTAAAAGTGAAGGAAAGGTTGTACAGTGCCATGCTATTTGACTGTTTTTTTTTTTTTTTTTTTTTTTTTACACACATCATTCAAGTTAGAAATGCGGTTCAAAAGCAAAACCTCAAGACTTACCTCTTGAATCTCTGTCAACCCTGCTATGCCCTTGGGCGCCCATGCTATTTGACTTAGGAACCTCCCTAGAGTTTTCCAACATTACAATACACTCTTAATTAAAATTAATCAATCACCAAGATGTAAAATATTTTTTCTGCAGAATGTGCCATGGTTTTGACAAGATCTTGCGTAAGTTAACTGACAAGAACCTACAAGAAATAAAAAGTTCAGTGGCTAACATGACCAATATTCAAAGCTTCCACCAAGTAGGTAAATTATTCACAATAAACCCACACTCCAATATATTTAATATATATGTAAAGCATATTGGCAGAATAATAGAAATGGTCTTGCAGAAACAGAAATATTTTATAAATTTTATGATGTATTATCCCAATTTAACTAAGACAAATGGCCTTATGGATCAAAAATGGTTTGTTCACAAATTAAAGAACATACAAAACACAAATACATTGTGTGTTTTTTTTTATTATTTTTTATCGAGCCTCTAATACTGTCATGGTGATTTCATTAACTGAACTTGTTGTCTGCTTGCTTGACGTATAATAATCAATTTCTGGAAAAGTTCTTTCAGTGTAAAAACCAGGCTGTTTAGGCTGAAGCAATGCACTCCCACTACCAAGCATCAGAACCACAGATGACATGTTCGGCCTATCTTCTGGAAATTGTTGCACACATAATAGAGCAATATGGATTGATCGTAGAACTTGGGACAAACAGCACGAGTCTTCTCCGAGAGGTGCATCTACCAGTTCCAAGGACCTGCCTTCCTTGAAAAGTCTCCAAGACTTTTAAGTAATTCACAAATCATTAGTAAGAGTCTGAGTTTTGGCAATATAGATTATAAGTGATTCAGAAATTATTAGTAAGAGTCTTAGCTTTAACATATAAGGGAGGCGATACTGGCACTCCATATTTGACCTCAGGCATTCCACCTTTTATTTTTTATAATGAAAACGACAAGTTTACCCTTGATCTCCTAAATGAAGCCTATAAGATTTATTCGAAAAGACACTAGAGAAAGAGGGGCAAAACAGTCATTTCAGTTACTAAATTTAAAAGTTGGAGTGATTGATGAGGTCAAATGTGGACTGCAAATATCTGCTCCCATAAGTAATTCACAAATCATTAGTAAGACTGTTAGTTTTAACATATAGATTATAAGTGATTCACATATCATGAGTAAGTTTTAACATGTAGATAAGATTCTAAACAGGAGACTTACATGGCCAAGAAGGTTAAGGTGGTGTTCAGGATGAAAAAAACCTCTGTTCCTCTTTCCACTCACCATCTCCAATACCAAAACTCCAAAGCTAAATACATCTGATTTTACAGAGAAAATCCCATCTACAGCATACTCTGGGGACATGTAGCCGCTGCAAGGAATAATGAACTAAGAAACAGATGTAGCAAAAATAGGGATGGATTGTATAAACAATGTTTAAAGATTCATACTGTGTTCCAACCACTCTTTTCGTAGTTGCTCCAGTCTCATTTTCTCCAAAACTTCTAGCCATGCCAAAGTCTGATATTTTAGGGATCAAGTTAACATCTAGCAAAATATTGCTAGCTTTGAGATCTCTATGGATGATTCTCAGTCGGGAATCTTGATGAAGATAAAGAAGTCCCCGAGCAATCCCATTGATAATGTCAAAGCGCCTAGGCCAATCCAGTAATTTGCTTTGGGTTTGATCTGTCAAAACTTTTCATATTAGTCTATACTGCTGCTAATTAAATGCTCGTATAACTAGAAAATGTGTAACAAGCAACCAGAAAACTTTGCCATCCCCTCTCACCCCCACCACCCGGTGGAGGGGGACCTTGGTTGGAACAATTTATCGCAACACCATGTCAAAAACCAATGCTGGATCAAGTATAATTAACATAGTCAGATGCTTTAACTGAGTTAAATTTATCATGGTAAAGAGCCAAACCAAAAATAAATAAATCCAAACTTTTGTTAGGCATGTATTCATAGATCAACATCTTTTCTTCTCCTTGAAAGCAGCATCCTAGAAGCTTCACGAGATTTCGATGCTGGAGCTTTGCTATACAGATAACTTCATTCTTGAACTCATCAATTCCTTGTGTGGAATATTTTGACAGACGCTTCACTGCTATTTCCTTTCCCTCTTCCAGAATACCCTGAAACACTTAACAGTTGTGATAGGTATAAGAATATTATTTTAAAAAGACAAAAAAAAAAAAAAAAAAAAAACTCATGTTTATATTGCTTCTTTTTATCATTTACTTACTGCCTTGTGTTGTATTTTCACTGGTTTGATTATTGATTTGTTTCATAACGGATATATATACCCAAAAGAGTTTGCCTCACTCTACTAAAAATTGCTTCAATAAATCTTATTTCCTTTAATTTTTTACACAACATCCCAACATGTAAAAGGATAGCAGGACTACTACAAATCAAAGTGATTCTAATTTAGCCAAAAAAAAAAATCTCTTTTCTTTTTCAAAAGAAGAGAAAGAAACAGATTTTGAATGGATGGGAAAATTTAATAAAAATTCAAAGGTCGAAACTTGTATAATAGTATATGATTCATCACTGAACATTCTGATCATTCTATTAATTCTGACATAACATAATATCAAGAAATTGAGAACTAATAGAACAAATTTACAAATATATATGCATGAGGACAGATGCACACTTGCATAAAGAGTTACTTCTGCAAAAGATGGAATTTGTTCTTTTGCAAAAACAGAACAAACAACATTTTGCCCCATTGCTAACTAGCCCTTTATCAGGTACACATCTATATCCATCTAATATCTATATCTATACTATTATTACTTATCAAAAAAAAAAATCTATACTATTATAAAAGTGCAAGCCATTTTCCTAATTTCTTAATATTTTTCAATTTTTTAAAATACAAAAATGTTCCATTAATTGTGTTTGCATTAATACAAAAAGGCATAAATCAGAAGATGAACATTTTTCGTATAAAAGTGTATACATAATTTTATTTGTAATTATTAATATATAAGTGAGCTAAATAATATACTCTTGGGCCTCTTTGAATTGTCAACCGTTAAGAGTTACAGTTTGAAAATTATGTCATGATGACCTCTTGAAATTCTCGATAGTTACAACTCTTTAATCTAGATGGAAGTTTTTGTGCATGCTCCATTTATGGCCAAAAATTTTGCACATTTGTCGTTGAGTTTTGCTTGTGGTCTGACTGATCTTTCCACTAGAAGAGATTGGGATTGCTTATGGGTTGAGAAAGAATCTGTTTCTTATATTTTGTTTTTGAATTAGTTCCTGAGGTCTTTCTCAACCTTTCTATCAAGGCATGTGCTATCCAATATAATTTTTAAGATTTAAACTTCTTCTAATGCTTTCCTATTGTATTGTTTAATTTTGCCTTCAATGGTGTATTATTGTTTAGCTTTCATCATGGTCCAATTTTTCATTTTATCGATTGATTTGGTTTTGATCATGATATGGTTTTCATTTATTATATTTTTTTATTTGGTTTTTGATAGTGGTGTTCATTTCCACTGATTTTATATATCTTTGATTACACTTGAATGATATCCCAGTTCAACTTTGTCTTGATAGTTGAGGAGGCCAGAAGTGATATGGGCCGGATATGACCCACGAACATGGCATCCGGTCCGAGCAGCTGGGTCCAGCCCATAAAGAAATACTGCCATATGGGCCGAACGCGATTAGCCCATCGAAGATGACCAAAGCCCACAGAGGAACGGGCCCAAATCTAGCAACCCATTAATGTTTGTAAATACCTATAAATATGAGAAGTAATGGAGAGAGAGATTCATTCTGTTGAAGTGTAAGAATTCTAGAGAGAGAAAATGGAAATGAATTCCTTGCATCTTCAATTGGCGCCCACCGTGGGGCGAGCCCAAGATAGCAATTACAGGAACCTCCACCCAAGCAGAATAGGGTGGAGGAGCCAGTTGACTTGACCGAAGAGCCCCTTCTGGATGTGCAGATCGATCAGTCCAAGCCAGAGCAAACTACCAGAGTAAGAGTAAGACTGACCAGGAAAGAGCAGCAGGAGCTAATTGACTTCTTGTCTCATAATGCCGATGTATTTGCATGGAGTCACCTAGACATGCCTGGAATTAATCCCTCCGTATCCTGTCATTCCTTGAATGTCAATCCCAATTTCAAACCAGTAAAGCAGAAGCAACGAAGGTTTGCTCCAAAACGTAACCAGATCATAGCCGAGGAGGTTGATAGGCTGCTCGATGCGGGATTCATCAGAGAAGTGCACTATCCTGATTGGTTGTCCAACGTCGTTGTCGTGCAGAAGAAGAATGGGAAATGGCGAGTATGCATTGATTTCACCAATTTGAACAAAGCCTGTCCGAAGGATAGCTTCCCGCTGCCTAAGATTGATCAAATGGTGGATGCCACCACCGGGTATGAGCGTTTAACCTTTCTGGACACTTATTCAGGTTATAATCAGATCCCTATGGACCCGGCAGATGAAGAAAAAACTTCTTTTGTTACCGAGCGAGGGACATACTGGTACAAAGTTATGCCTTTCGGACTGAAAAACGCGGGAGCAACTTATTAAAGGCTTGTTAGCAAAATTTTCAAAGATCAAATAGGGAAAAATTGTGGAAGCCTATATTGATGATATGGTGGTAAAGAGTAGGAAGAAGGATGATCATCTGAAACATCTGCAAGATGTATTTGATGTGCTGAGGCGATATGGGATGAGGCTCAATCCAACCAAGTGCTCGTTCGGTGCGAGTTCCGGTCAATTTTTGGGACACGTGGTCAATCGCAGAGGCATCAAAGCTAGCCCTGCTCAAGCAGAGGCTTTGATTAAGAATGCCGAGCCAAAGACGATCAAAGAAGTGCAAGCCCTCACAGAACGAATAACTGCATTAAGTCGATTCATTTCTAAGTTGTCAGACCGCTGCAAGCCGTTCTTTGACACGATCCGGAGTCATGGAAGACAGGTCTGGGGGGATGAACAACGACAAGCATTAACCCATTTGAAGGAATATATGCAGAATCCACCAGTCCTGTCAGCCCCGGATCCAGAAGAGAAATTATATCTATATCTCGGAGTATCTAGTGTTGCGACAAGTGCCGTTCTGATTCGTTGCAAGGAAGGGGTGCAACACCCGGTGTTTTATGTCAGTAAGACAATGACCGAGGCAGAACGAAGGTACTCGAAGGCCGAACGGGTGATACTTTCACTCGTAAACGCAAAAAGAAAGTTGACGCATTATTTCGAATCCCACCCTATAGCTGTCCTAACAACTTTTCCAATCAGAGTGCTTATGCACAAGCCAGAACTCTCGGGCAGAATGACAAAATGGGCCATAGAGTTAAGCTCATTTGACATAACGTATGAGCCGAGAACGACTGTCAAAGGACAAGCGGTAACCGATTTCCTGCTAGAATGTGACTCTGAGGATACGGAAGAAGACCTTAGATGCGGCTCTTGGAAACTTTATGTGGATGGCTCCTCTAATCAGATGGGGGCAGGAATTGGGGTTAAATTGCAAACCCCAGAGGGTACTTCTTTGAGTCAAGCACTCAGACTTAAGTTCCGAGCCACCAATAATGAAGCGGAATACGAGGCGTTGCTGAATGGGTTAAAGTTGGCCAGAGAGCTACAGGTCAGAAGTTTGACTGTTTATAGTGACTCACAGTTGATTGTTCGGCAGGTAAATGGTGAGTACGCGACCAAGGATGACACGATGGAGGCATATCGTTCTGCCGTTCTGCATAAAGCCAAGGACTTTGCAAAGATTGAATTCAAACAGTTACCGAGAGAACATAACGCAGATGCAGATCGGTTAGCATGTAGTGCTTCGAGCTCTGGCGAGACATTGGCGAGGGTGATTCCAATAGGAATACTGACCCAGCCATCTATTTTTGAAGAACCTTTAGACTCTGAACCTTGGCAAGTCAATGTCATACCATATGAACCGAGTTGGATTGACCCCATCATCATTTATATTCGAGATGGCGTTCTGCCTATGCAAAGGGATGAAGCTAGGAAAATAAAAAAGAATGCTGCAAAGTACGCCATAGTGCATAACCAGCTATACAGAAGATCCTACTCTGGCCCATACTTGAAGTGTGTCACCCCCACAGAGGCTCGGCAGGTGTTGCGAGCTATTCATGAAGGCGTATGTGGAAATCATTCTGGGGGAAGATCGTTAGCGCACAAAACAATGACACAAGGGTATTTCTGGCCGAACATGTCAAGAGATGCGGAGGAGTTCTCTCGAAGGTGCGATAAATGCCAACGGTATGGACCATTGATCCACCAACCACCTGAGGAATTGCACGTAATGGCCTCACCATGGCCTTTCGCGCAATGGGGGATGGATGTGGTCGGTCCTCTATCAACTGCGAGAGCTCAAAATAAGTATGTGCTATTGGCCACGGATTACTTTACTAAGTGGGTGGAAGCAGAACCATATCCGAGCGTGACTCAGACTCATGTGAGACGATTTATCTGGAGCCATATTATCTGCCGTTTCGGCGTTCCAAGGTCAATAGTCATGGATAATGGCACAAACCTCGACAGCAAGCAAGTAAGAGAGCTGCTGGAGGAGTATGGAATTAATCAAAAGTTGGCTGCAGTAAGTCATCCCCAGGCCAATGGACAAGCAGAAATTACAAACAGAACAATTTTCGCCTGCATTAAGAAGAAGCTAGAGGACCATAAAGGGAAGTGGTTGGATGAACTCCCGAACGTCCTATGGGCTTACAGAACCACCTCAAGGCGCCCGACTGGGGAGAGCCCGTTTGCAATGGCGTATGGTACCGAGGCAGTTATACCGGTTGAGCACTTGGTCCCAACTATCAGAAGCTTAACATGGAGTCAAAGTCAGAACGACAGAATGTTAAGATTGAACCTCGATATGATAGACGAAAAGAGGGACGCTGCAGCAATAAGGCTTGCATCATACCAGCAAGTATTGGCGAATAGTCACAACAAAAGAGTGAAACACAGAGATTTTGCCCCTAGCGATCTGGTTTTGAAAAGAAAGGTGGGAATAGTCAAAAAAATGATGCCACCCTGGGAAGGCCCATATAGAATTGCAGAAGTCATAGGGAAGGGGGCATATACATTAGAAACCATGGCAGGAAGGTTGGTCAACAAGCCCTGGAATGCTAC